GTAAAATCATGAGGAAGACTGACCAGTTGCAAAATTTATTTCCTATGTAATTATGAAAATAATTAAACAGATAATGTTTCACAGTCTCACACACCTGCCCACCCTAACAAGCCTACTCCATGATCAGAATAACTGCAGCTTTTTCCTTGCTGCAGTGCACCTGACAGCTTCTGTGGTGCCTGTTGGGGCAAGGAGGGAAGGGAGCACTCAGCTGTTACTGAGAGTGCTAACTTTAGATGTGGCTTTGGGTTTCCTACAAGGGAGTGTTCATATCCCAGGTCCTTCTTAATCAGCTTGAGGATGCCAAGTGGGTGTTTGCTCTGTCTCTGATGGAGTGCCAGCAAGCAGGCAGCAGTGAAATCTTTCCTGCAGAGATGCAAAGTGTCAGTCTTGCAGACATGTACCCACCACCCATCTGCTGATAAATGAATATTCTGAATGAGGTCCTTTTTTTGGCAAGTGACGCAAAACATACTATGAAGGCGATGGAAGATGTTAATGTTCAGGAAGAGCTTTATCTTTCCTGATCTATATTTTTTAATGTTGTAAGGTCCATTGAGATCTTGCTTGTGTGGGACAGTTGAGCTTCACTGAAGCAATTTCTTCACTTAACACAGAGAGTTTATTCTATCACATCACCTTACTTAGGCACTGGTGTGTTTACAAGAAACCTGTGAGGTAAGTAGCAGGGACACTGGGTATGAGCCCCATCCCATGTTCAGTTCTGGTTTGCATGTGATAAATTAACCTATATGCAGCATTGTGAGCAAGGCAGTCTCTGACATTTAAAGGATCTGTAATCATGGAATGGTTTGGGTTGGATGGGTCCTTAAAGATCATCTTGTTCCAACCCCTCTGTCATGGGGTGGACAAGAACATGGGATGCCTGCAGGGACACCGTCCACTAGACTAGGTTACTCAAAGCCCTGGCAAACCTGACCCTGAACATTTCCAAGGACAGAGCATCCACCACTTCTCTGTGGAACCTGTTCCTCATCACCCTCACAGTGAAGAATTTCTTCCTAATAGTCTAATACCTTATTAATTGTTGAGATTCAGGGGTTTGACAACAGCTCTGCTTATTCTCTTGATCTCTAAAATGCCAGCCATACCTCCCTGCTCCCACAGAGGAACCTTTTGAGGATTAGTCAGCACTTGGGAGGCCTGTGGACTTGCTGTTTAAACACTGGTAGAAGGGGTGAGTATGGGTAAGATTTTTTCTAGCAAGGCTGTTGTAGTGCTGGGGCAAACTAACAGAGTAGTTATTAATCTCCTGTACTGGAGGCTTTGGGAACAGACTGGATAGATGAACATCTGCAAGTGTTGGTGTTAGGTGCATTTCATCTTCTCCAAATGCAATGGGACTAGGGCAGGTAACCCAGTAGCCTTCCCAGATCAGTACTTCCTGATGTTGATTGTCCTTCAGAATGAAAAACATCACCTCCTGGCAGTTTGAGCCCGGGATCATAATGAGGTCATGCTGAATGTTAATAATCATCTCTCCTGTGCAAGACCTGCACAGAGGAAGACCCATAGCACATGTGTTTCCCTCTGCAGCATAAGAGTTAAGCAGTCTGAGAAGTCTTGGGCTTCCACTGAGGCAAAGTTTTCATGGGCCAGTGCAGCCAGACCTGGATATAGTTTATATCTATTACAGATATAGCTGGTTTTTCCCATAGAAAAACCAGTATCTTTCACCCAGACATAGTCCTGTTACTCTGGCAGTTTGACTTCTGGGCTGAAGCTGGCTTCATTCTGCTTTTTAGGGATGACAAAAGAGAAGAGTGGGCTGGCTGCACCTGTTCATATGGATGTGCTGCAGCAAGAGCAAGCATTTCCTTCTCAGTGGAGAAATCTGTGGAATGAGTTTGTCACTTGCTTCACAAGGGTGAGGCAGCCGAGCAATGCATTCCTGAATCAGCAGGCTCCTCTTGCCTTGAGCGTTCTTCGGCAACCACACATTAAATCTAAAGCTATAAATTGTATAATTTGCATAAGATATTAGACTGAGAAGCACAATGGGACAGACGCTAATTGCAGATTTGGGAAGCCTCACAAGCATTTTCTAGGAGATAAACTGCAGTTACCTCAGTATTGGGCAATTAGTTTTGGTTTCTAAAAGGAGAGAAGTGTATCAACAACTGATTTCTTGTACTGTGTAATTTGCTGATTTCATTGTTGCTCTTGGGGACAGTTTATTAGTTCCTTTTTAAGACAATATTTTTTTAAAAAGCTCACTATTTTTGACAAGTAGGCAAGTGCAGTTTGGGAGGGATATTCCCACCAAGAAAGTTCAGTTGAACACTCCTATTTTGCTGCAGGAATATGAATTCTACCATAAATTCTTTCATAGTTCTATCCTAGGTTGCCATACAGGTTCACCAGACTGCAGATTAAGGGGTTTTGGTTGATTTTTGCTGCCTCTGCAACCCACAGTTTGGTATGATTTTTGGGGGTAAAATTTATGCAGGCATTTTACTGTGTTTAGCATTAATTTCTAATTAGCTATTAGGTTGCCAGTTAGTTAAGCTGCTAAATCTTAAAATGTGTTCACCAAGATAGCAGAAGTGTTATGGGGAGTATAGAGCTCTGTATTTGCCAGGTTTTGTAGTCACTCTGAGTGTTACGTCTTCCAACACTGCCCTACAATGTTTGTATGCCTTCTGTTTTATAAGCTGTTAATGAAATACAGGCAGTTCTTTATATGTGATGTTTGCCCTCAAGGTCCTGCATTAGGGGGGAAGTGAATGTCCTAGATGCTAGAGCTGATTGTAATTGCTTTTGGCTTTCAGTATTTTGAAAGAAAATAATGTTAGAAGAGATCTGAAAATATAATTTTTATTTTCACAGAAGAAATGATCATTTATAAAGAGCCTAAAAGGGGCAGTGGAGAGAATTAGCATTTTTCAGATTTCAGAATTTGGAAAAGAATATAAGAAAATTCTCTTTTAGCTTTTCTGCCCCTTCCTCTCTCCCACTCTTACTCTACAGCTCACTGCCCTAAAAGTCCCAGGAAGAAAGGTGACTTGTTCTTTTGGACACTTTATTTGAAATGAAAGTAAACAAGCTTTGCTTTTATTTCACTGGGAAGCATCTTACTTCATTTATTGATTAAAGTGCAACCATTTGCAGGTAGTTTGGCCTGTCCAATTGTTTTGAACTTAACATTAAAGACTAGTATAGATGTAAATTAGTTGAATATAAAAGTAAAAAAAAGTAAAACAAGCTCACAAGTGGGGGTCTAGATTTACAGGAGAGTCCCATCTAGGATATTCTTGGGTGGGCTTGTCTTCATTGGGTGTATTGCTTTTCATTCCTTCCAGTGAATGACAGCTCTGATGTGGATGCTCTTACTCAACTTCCTGCGTGGGAGGAGGGATGAACAGTACCAAAAGAAAGCAGCTTCATAGTCTGTATAACTATATCCATGCAGGTGTTGGAGCAGGGTTACCATTCCAGATGGTAATTACACCTTGGCAGTAACTGCTCCATGGATGCAGCTCTTTGCAAGTGCACACCTGTCCAAGATCATGCCATGTTTTGCCTCTCCCCTCTTGCCTTACTCCTTTAGAGTGATTATTTTCAAAGTCACTGTTATGAAGTAGGAGGAATTCTTTGAGAAACAGGCTCAAGATGTATAGCATGAGTAACTGCCATCATTTAACTAGTTAGAAAAGCTCTTAAAATTATGTAACCAAATAGCTGAAACTAAGTGGAACCTATGCCAAACACAGGCATATGTTGGTCTCTGGAGGCAGGTATGGGTGGAGGACTTTACATGGTTGGTTTGTGAAGCTTTGTCTGCCTGGCATTGGATTCATGCACTAGATGCATGAATAGTAGCCATCTAAGGTATTGCAGAAGTGAGGGGGGAAAAAGGGAATATCTGGGAAAGCTTCAACAGGTGGTACATTTGTGCCTGTGAAGCTGTCTCTCTTCCCCAGAACAGGAAGAAGAGAGAGTGAGACAGACTGGTTGTGCACACCAAGCCTGCCTTTTTTTTTTTATTCTTCCTGCAGAGAAATGGTACTTTCTTTGTTAGTGTAGTATCCAAGTTTATCAACAACATAAATAACATAGCCATAATTATCAAGTCCTGGCCTGTCTGTTCTAAGCACTTTATCATTCAGCCCATTTCAGAAACCCAGGGTAAGCCAGTGAAAAGATTAGCCAGGTTTTCTCCTTCTCCCCACCTTGTTAGAAGCATGGAAAGGACCCTCACAATCGAGTCCATTAAGCCAGCGCTCCCAGGCCCACCAGTAAACCATGACACTGAGTGCCATGTCTGTATGTCTGTTAAATAACTCAAGAGTTGGTGACTTCACCACTTCCCAGAGCAGTCTGTTCTAATGTTTGGCAAGCTTTTCGTTGATGTAATTTTTCCTAATATTCAATATAAATCTCCCCTGGAGCAATTTGAGGCCTCTTGAGTGCTTCTTGCCCTGTGAGTTGTTACTTGGGATAAGAGACCAACCCCCACCTGGCTACAGCCTCCTTTCAGGTGGTTGTAGAGAGCACAGGATTCCCCCTGAACCTCCTTTTGTCCAGGGTAAACAGCCCCAGTTCCCTCAGCTGTTCCTCGTGAGAGCTGTGCTCCAGACCCTTCCCCAGCTCTGTTGCCCTTCTCTGGACACACTCCAGCCCCTCAGTGTCTTTCTTGTCATGAAGGGCCCAGAAGTGAACACAGGATTTGAGGTGTGGCCTCACCAGTGCTGGGTACAGGGGGACAATCCCTGCCCTGCTCCTGCTGGCCACACTGCTGCTGGCACAGGCCAGGATGCCATTGGCCTTCCTGGCCACACCTGGGCACAGCTGGCTCATGTTCAGCTGCTGTCAAATGGCACCCCCAGGTCCTTTTCCACCAGGCAGCTTTCCAGCCACTCTGCCCCCAGCCTGTAGTGCTGTGTGGGGCTGTTGTGAGTGGCCCAAGTGCAGGACCTGGCCCTTGGCTTTGTTGACCTCATAGAGTTGGTCTTGGCCCTTGGATCCAGCCTGTCCAGGTCACCTTCCAGAGCCTTCCTGCCCTTCAGGACATCAACTCTCCCACCCAATACCAACTTGGTACTGGCCATAAATTTGCTAAGAGTACACTCAACTCCCAAGTCTAGATAATCAATAAAAGTACTGGATATGACTTCATCCAGTACTGATCCCTGGGGGACACCACTAGTGACCAGATGCCAACTGGATGCAGCACCATTCATCACCAGTCTCAGGGTCTGGCCATCCAGCCAGTTTCTTATCAAACAAAGAATGCACCTTTCCAAAATTATCAGCTCTGTGATTTTTCCCAGCATCCAGGTCTGGCTGACAGACCTGTAGTTCCCCAGATCCTCCTTTTGGCCCTTCCTGTGGACTGACAGTCTATTTGCCAGCCTCCATTTGTCTGGGGCCTGCCTGGTGAGCCAGGACTGATGATAAATGATTGAAAGTGGATTGGTGAGCTTTTCCATCAGCCCCTGCTGTGCCCTGAGGTGAAGTCCATCCAGCCCCATAGAACAGTGTGTGTTTAAGTGGTGCACAGGTTGGTGACCATTTTCCCTTGGATTAAAGAGGCTTTATTCTTCCTATCCCTTTCAGCTGGCAGGTGGCTCAAGAGCCTGGATACTTAATCAGCTGAGAATCTTTTCTAATTTCAAGTTCAGGTTTACAGGCTTCCCCAGGAAGAGAAGTAACATCTTGTAACAACACAAATTTCTGTCTGTGTTGGCTGCTTTACAGTTTGTTGCAGCCTGAACATGTGCACAAAGAAAACCAGCTTGTATTGAGGCAGAGCTGGGTTCAAAGCATAACAGACATTTACTGTATGAGAATCACATCTAGAGGTGCACAAAATTCTGTGAAGCTGGCAGTGCTTGTTTTATCTTTTCTACTTTGATACCAGATTTACCACAAGAATTTTATCTTAAGGGAACAAAGGTGTCACAGTTCTCTATCTAATCCTACGATCAGGATGGAGTTTTTTCCCTCCTAATTTAGGAATAGAAAGGAATCCTTAAACAAAATTTATCTCCTAAATAAAAATACACCAAATTTTAGGTGCATTATTAACCTTTTAATATAGTGAATTGCATTGGTTCGTTAGTGTATGTTTAGGTGCAATGAAAGTCAAAGCCTGCCTGGAACTGAAGAGTAAAACAAATACATTTCATATTCAGTGTAATGCATATCGTGACATGCAGATGGTTTTGATCCATTTACCTTTTGTGCTCTCGTTCAGTCTTTGTTTTTTATATTACTTTGTCCAAATCAATTTTTTTTAGTAACTTGGATAGCCTTTATAGGAAAATTAATTCTTCCTTTTGTAAAGGTAGAGCTATGTGAACTGAATGTTTGTTCGGGCTTACAGAGAAGTTTGGAGTTTTTTTCTTGGAAACCTAAGTGTAAGGAGGCTTCCTCTTCTTTTTTGACTTGAGAAAAACAGCTGATTTTTTCAAAACATTTTCTGTTTTGTGCTCTGGTTGTGTAATTTTATTTATTTTTTTTTTTTCTATATACACCATGTACTGCAACTTCTAAAGACTAAAGTGTTGATGTGTGGTTTTAGTGGCTGTAGGGCACATAGTATTAATCTAAGAACAGCACTGTCATTATCTTCATTAAAGCAAGGGTATTGTGTCAGCCAGACAGTGCAGAGAGACATTGAAGTTGTTAAATCTTGTTGAAGAACTGCATTGTGCTAGGACTCAGAAGGTTTGATCCTGTTTCAAGATTTAGTGATGGTGCCTGAGTAGGTATTAATCTCTCCACCTCCTTGTTTCTTCATTTCACACCCTTGTCCTTCATCAGTCCTGTTTGGTTTGCAACTTCTCTGAGGGGAACACCACCTGTTTTTGTGTCTCTTACACAGGGCTCAAAACGCAGGCCTTGTAATGCCTCCGTAATACAAATGATCCTACAATGTGTGGGGAAGATTGCAAGGCTTCCGTACTGTCCACATGGGCTTTAATTGTAACTGTATACAGAGGAAACCCTTTGAAACTGCATTTAGTGGAAGCTAAATTCTGAGCTATGACCTAGTTTCTTGAAACATTCAGGTTTTGTCATTATTTTGAAGGCTTCAGTATCTGATGCTAAAAATACACTGTACGGGCCTTCCCACGTGTAGGTAGTTACATAAATCTTGCCATAAATAATACTTGTTCACTTGATCATTATAGGAATGTCTCGACATGCAGTTCATAAGGGATTTGCTCAGAGCAAACCAAAATTGAGTAGAAAAACACAGATTAGAATAAGAGTTCCTAGACCTATTAAGGTCCTACTTTTATAGCATCATTTCAATAATTTCATAGCCTAGTTTGTCATTTTTCCGATATGTAGACAAAGCTGAAGAGGGCTAAGGAGAATCCTGTTTAATTCTTCAGTCAGCTGTGAAATGTGAAGGGCTGGTACTGCACCTTTAGAGTTGCACATCTTGAAAAGGTGTAAGGTAAATATTATTTTATCATGTTTAACTTAACATTGTTATGTGAGTAGAAGCATAGGGTGGAATGCTGGATTTCACGGCCATTTTGTATAAATACTTCAGGCTATAAAACTAAAGCACTGAGTAGTATGAACGTCCTGGTTGTTGATAGTTATTGAAAGAAAGTGTATTTTATAAATAGGAGGGGGAAAAGCAGGAGCTGATGGTAAACAAGGCACCATTCTTCAGGCTGGCAAGAAAAGTTCAAGTGGATTTGAGCTTTAAAAAAAAGAGAGAACTTACAGGAGCCTTTCAATACATAAAGTGGGGTTCCAAAAAGGCTAGAGGTGGACTTTTCACAAAGGCATATGGTGGTAGGATAAGAGTGTCTTATAACACTTAAGCTGAGGGAGAGCAGGTTTAGATTAGATAATAGGAAAAAACTTTTTACTGTGAGGTTGGTGAGGTACTGGAATAGGCTCCAGAGAGGTTGTGGACTCCATGTCCTTGGAAATGTTCAAGACCTGCTGAAAGGGGGTTATTTGGACAGGTGGCAGTTATGAAAAGCAGCTCCTAGGATATCACATCTAACTTGCAGGTATTAGTATAGCAAAGCAGAGATCAAAATATTAGTGAAGGGGCAAGCTTGTACTAAGCAAACCAAAGTGAAATCTGAGATGGAAGTGAGTGGTGCAGTTGAGCTCTGAAAGAATGTTCAGTAGCAAGCATATGTCAGAAATTCTTACTGCAATCTCAGGATTGATTTTATTAGGAAGAAAATGTTTTGACTTAATTCTCAGAAATGAGCAATCCCTACTTGCATGAAGCCCAGTTTTGCCTTAGGTTCTTCTGTCAAGTGATGGACTGTCATCAGTGCCCAGCCTACCAGTCCCTCAGCCCAGTCCATCACTTTCATGCCTTCTAGTTTATTCCTGTACATCCTCCTTCAAGTTGAAAAATAAGATTGTAAAATCATTGTATCAGGAGCTGCTGTGAAATTTGTTTCTGAAAAGAAACAAAATTGCAGTTTGTGAGACCTATTAGGAACTCTGTAGAACCTAATTCAGACCTCAAAATAAATCTTGAGAGTGAAGAAAATTACAGAGCACAGAACAGCAGGGCAGAATGCTCAGATAGCTCTGCGGGAGACAGACCTGTCTTCCATGAAGAGTGGATGGTTTTTGATGCCCAGCTCCTTCTCTCGGTGGAAAGACCAGCCTCCATGCTCCCCAGGACCCCTGCAGAGCCTTTGTTACACTAGAGCCCTGGGGTGGGAAGGAACATGGAGATATTTTAAGCAGCAGATGGACTGTAGTGTTCAATTTAAAAGTATGTCTTTTTTTTTTTTTTTGTGGGTCCCAGATCCCATTTCTCTACATGAAGTGAGAACTGTGCTTAGCTCTGCTTTGAGTTTCCCCTCTTCTGGATGCAGTAGGGGTAATTTGTTGTTTTGCAAGTGGAAGATGAACAGAATTACTCAGGTCATCCTGGTTTACCTCCAGCAGTTCTCATCCAGCTGCTTTGATTCTAACTAACATTTGTGGGTCAGATCTGTGAGTTCACTGCCTTTTGATGTAGAATGATGTTGCAAAAGAATTTCTGAAAGTTTTCTGACCTTTTGTTACTCTCTTTTTCTCTTCCTCCCTTTTTTCATTGTGACTACATGATCTATGAATGTAAGATTGAGCAGGGATCTTTTCCAGGAGGATACTCATCTGTTTCGCTTGAAAAGCTGGCAGGGACCATGAGTGCGAGAAGGTAGATTGAGAGGAAAAGGAAATTGAACCAGTGCAGTGGGGTTGCATTAATAACCATGAGAATAAAGTACTCATACTGTTTTTGAAAAGGATATTGTGAAAGAAGTCAGTAATTAATATTTAGGGAGTTAGAATTGTTTTTTTCTTTTTTTTGTGGGGTTATTTAAAACTTAATTTATAAAGTATTAGATCTAACTTAATGCAAGCTAGTACAGAGAGAACAGATATTGAAACATGAGAATTTTCCTGCTAGGGTATGACAGGAAGCAGTCAGACTTAGGAGAACAAACAGTGAAAAAGATTTTTTTTAAAAAAAATCTGCTTTCTCTATCCATATCAAATAATATACTAAAAGAGGGATACTAAGGGCAGATAGAGCAGTTTGTGATTATCTTCAGTTCCAGGTGACATCAGTGCTGGAAACAGCTCTTCTCATACTGCATCTCTCTTCTCACCTAGTGAGAAGAAAAACATTATTAGATAACATCTGCTCTAGTTCAAGGGGTGCAAGCATCAAACAAGGTTATTTGCAAGAGAACCTAAGGCCACTAATTCTAGGTTTTACACATGTACAAGACTAGAGCAAGATTCTAGACTGGAGAGTGCTTATTCTTGGGAAAAACACCCAACAAAATGTTCCAATATGTGAATGCAGTTGCCTTATCCACATGCTAAATCTGGGTGTGGAGCTTGACAGGTACTGTTTGTCTTTTAAGCATCTGGAAATGTATGCTCATTTTTGCCTTCCCATTTTATTAACTCTTAGTGATGCCAGGTCCCCCAACAGGGAGGATTTCTGACCTGCTCAGTATTGGCCAGTTTAGAAGCATTGTGAGCATTATAGCACAAGCCTTGATGGGCTGATAGTGTTTAATAAAATTTTGGGGGTTAGTTTTAATCTGTGTCTTAACAGGAAGTAGGTGGAGTATACCTGAGTTGAAGTACCTCCCAACCTAACCACAGATTTCTGTGTTCAGGTTGTCTGTGGTAATAAGACTGATACCAGAGTAAATACACAACAGGCTATGTCCTTCCATACCAACAGTAGGTCTGCGCTTACTCTATAGCACTGTATTATGCCTAGTCTAAAGCCCAGGCTTTTTATTTTTAGTAATTCAGACAGGAATGTTTTTCTCACAATTGCAGAATACTTCTGACAAGCAAGAACAATGAAAAGAGGTAATATTTAAGCTTCAGATCCCAGTGTCCCCAAAAGTAGGCAGAACCTAAAGCAGTAGGTTTTTACCCTTCTTCTCATCTGTTAACATCTCAAAAATTAGCGTCCCATTCTTTTCTCTCTAGAGCCCTTCACTATTCAATTTACCTCAAGTGAAGTAAAAATCTCAAGTGTTGTATATGACATAAATGGTTCAAGAGATCCAGTGGGACCCATGGCTACCTATTTTCCTCCATCTACTGTTTTCTTAATCTAAATTAAGGCCTGTGTCAGTGCTGGGCTTTTGTTGACTGAAGAGAGGTTATGTAAATTCGATATAGGCAGTCATTCAAGTAATATAGAACACATTTAATGAGAAGAGCCACAGGGATTGAGCGTGAAGAAATTTGTACAATGAAACACTTTTCTTAAACTATGCTGTCCCCATAACTCACTCTCCTCTTTTCTGCTTCATCAGCTAATCTCCAAAAGTAGTTGTAGGCTTTCAAGTTTGATCAGATTGCAAGAAGCAGCATCTTGGTAGAAGGGATCAGAGAAAGATTAACACTGCTGGGAACTTGGTGTTTACCTTTCAATGGTGCAGTTTAACTTTCTGCTTTATACTCATTGTTATAAGGGTTAAATAAATGTCATGGCTTTTAAACACAGTCCAGAAGAGTGACACTTCTTTGTAGTTTGAAACAAAACATGTCTTTAGGGCTGGCAGCAAATCCAGAGTTGAGATAACATGGTAATTAAAATAATGATAATTTAATGTAGTGATCCTTATCCTGTAGGAAGACTTGCTTGCTCAAAATTAAGTATTACATATGCTGAAAGTCAGAGTTTGATGTAGGAGAGTAAACAGTTCATGGGCTGGCAGTATGACACCAAATGTAGCTCAAATAAACCAGACTGTATATTTGTGTTTTAATGAACTTAATAGATGTGTCTGTGAAGGAATGCAGCTAAACTTTGGTAGACTCAGTTGATCAGAGAACAGCTGTTCCTAAAATAGGATTTATTTGTTATTTTTTCTATTACATTTACCATTTGAGACATCCCTAGCTGATGGCTGGATAAGATTAATAATGGGACAAGTCATATGTCACAGGGCTTCCTAAGTGTCCTTTGCCAGTACTGACCTTTATGGTACATAATGAAGATGTCCTTACTGAAGGATTTTCCTTAACGGGAAAATGCCCATCAACCAAACTCTCAACAGCATCCTGTGAACGACTCTCCTGAGAAACTCTGTGTAATTACTAGTTCAAGTGCTCTAACCAAGATTAGGGACATCTGTTTGCTTTGATCTTCAGTCTCACAGTGCCCTGAAGTACCGTGCTCGGCGGAGCTGGCAAAGGCTAAAACAGCAGCAGTTGCCTCTGCTCACTGTGCAGAGCGTCCTGTTGTTGCTTTGCAGGGAACAGGTTCTTTCTGTGCCACATTTGGATCTAGCCATGAGCATTGCATCCTGCAGGAGAAATGTACTTTTCTTCCAGACCGTACCTTTTCCCAACAATGGAGTAGCCCTCATTGCCAAATACCTGCTGGCTCAGAATCATAGCAGCCTCTAAATTTACAGCTCCTTTTCAGGAAGGGAGAAGAGGGCTATGGAAGGGTGCCACTCAGATCTGATTCCTTCACACTGTAGGGCACTAAGGATGCCTGTGTAATCAGCTGAACACATCTCTTTTGGGAACAGGGAGAGTAAATATTGTGTGGAGTTTTCTGGATTCAAAACCAGCATCTGAGCATTTTAACTCCTCAAACTGAGTCCCACATCAGACACATCTACTGCTACAAAGCAAATACAGAAACCTCAACCTAATCCAGCTTGATTCTCGATTTAAAGTTAACCTGAAGTTAAAGCTTATTTCCAGCTATATGTTATTGTCTATATTCTTGATCTGAGAATGAACAGAACGTGTATAATATGGCATTTTAAATTAGGTAAGGGTTTTTTGGCGGGGCAAGGGTATATGTAGTGTATTTGGATGAGAATGGTGTTAAGCAAGCTGATTCCCTGCAGGCATCTCACTTGAATATTGTGCCCTGCCTACATGTATGCTAGTCTTTGCAAATTTGTATCTAGATGCAATTGTGGCTGAAAGACAGAGTCTGACCAGCACTACCCAATTCTGAGCTGGGCTTGCAGTGGTTGTTTTGGAGCAAGACTCTTCACCTTCCTTCTGAACACAAGGATGGGAGGATTTACAACCTGCATAGATATTACATAATATCTCTTTGATGATGGCCTCTGATTAGTTTTCCAAGTCACACAAAAGGAATGTGGTATGTTTTTAATGCTCTGTAACTGCATAAGTGCATCTTACCAGCTTCCTTATAACGAATGCTGAAGTGCATTCCCTTGTGATCTAAGAGAATCTAAATGAAGAGCTATTTTTTAATTATTTCATATTCTTTTTAGAGCAGTTTCTAATTCTTAATAACTAGTTTTTTGATTTTTTTTTTTGTTTAGGGCACTTTAATATGAGAGGAAGGGATTGTGTAGGAGACTGCAAAATCTGACCTGAGTCTACAAGCATTGTATTTTCTTGCATTTCACCAACCTCTTCCAACCAAGTACCTTGTTTTGTTTTAGAAAGTGGCTGTTTTAACCTCACAAAGACTGCATAATAACGTGGTACATTGAAACACAACCTAAATAGCCTAAAGTCCCAAAGCATGCTTACAGAAGTGTGTTTTTGTTTTTTCTTGAAATCTTCCTCGTTTAATACAAAATTGTTTGCTTGTGCTGTAAAGAATGTCTACTGTAGACTCAGCACAAGTCTTTGCAGGCAAAAGTACGATTTTTCGACAGAAACTTGCACTGTGTTACTGAAATGCTTCGTAATAGCAGCCAGACTCTTTCTTTTCCATCCCCAGTACAGCAGCTTCACTGGCAAAGGATTTGATGGAACTGAAAAGCTGAGTTCAAAACTTCTTGAAGCAGCTGAGAGGGGAGGGTGCACAATGGAGGCCTGTGTGTATCGGGAGCAGCATGCTGCTGATGAATGGGAACAGCAATGTGTTGTTTCTTCTGGTAAATATGAAAGTAGTAGGTGGTAAGCTTGAAAAAAAAACCCAACATTTTCACTATTCTACACTGCATAACTAAACAAGGAAATTCAGTGCCACTGAGTGCTGTGAATGCTAATTTGTGTGCATTCAAAAAAGCAACTAGATTCATGTCAGAAAAACCTGTTGAGAGCAGATAAATCCTTTATTTTCCTGAAGAAGTCCCTAAAGGGCTGCTGCAAGGGCCTATAACAGGGACAATGTCCTTGTAAGCTTTTGTGGTTTTATACTCTTTCCTGGACACATGCCACTAGCCTTTCTCTCTGCTGATTTGTGCCATTATGATCTGGCATTGTCCTGATCCTGGAAAAAGTCCCTTCAGTAAAGGATACTGAAGATTGCTTTGGCAAAGACCAAAAGAAAAGGGAGAGGGGTAACCTAAAGGAAAACTAAAATACAGAGAAACAAAGTGAATACTAGAAACTGTTTTCATGGGACAGTGTCACATGAGACATGTACCCCATCACTACAAATATACATCTGAATTTCCATTTTTTTGGAATCACCACAGGGGTCCACAAACCTGCTAATAAAAAGGATTAGGGTAATGGAAAGGATTAGTCTCATCCTGGAGAACAAAAAAACCTTCCTGATCCTGGTTGGATGTATCTTTTTGGTCTCTTAAAAATATTAGGAAACCTAAAGCTGGTTTATTTAATACAGTGTGTTTTAGTCCTGTCTGCTTTTATTCCCTCTGTTGGTCATATTGCAGTTAGATGGGTGTTCAAATAAAAGGACAGCTGACATTTTCCCAGGCTCCAATGATGAGTACCTGTAATGAAATACATGTGAAATTACTTAAAAAATGTTGGTACTGATGCCTGCAGGTTGTACCTGCTGGATGGGGTGGGATGCTGCC